GAAAGCGAAAGGAAAATAAAAAAGGTACCTTTACCTCGATTCGGTGTACTGTCTTTGTACATGTTGCTTTCATAGCTTTTTTTTTGTTTTTGCTTCAAAGTGGCCGAGGAACAGGGGCGTTTTTCAAGATTTACTTTCGTAGATCTAGCCCCGAGGCTTAACTATTTTAAAAACCGCCTTCATATTTGAAATCGGAGCGAAGAGGGCTCTCGAAAAAAGCAAAACTTTTTGTATTTCGCCACCGATGAACGGCGGTCGGCGCCGTTCAACGGCGGTCGATGAGGCGGCGTCACCATCGGATTTTGGAAACAGCGGTGGCTGTTCTTCGTGAGGAAGAACATTTGAGAGCAAATTTGGAGAGGGGGAGGCGTTTCAGCGAGGAAGAAGAGAAATGAAGAACTTAAAAAATTCTTGGCATTTATAGTTGGCCCACGCCCGACCCAAGGACCCGCGCGCGACCCGATCCATCATCAAAGAATCCGCATTTAAAAAAAAAAAAGGGTAATACCATTTTTAGTCCCCGTATGTTTTTAAACATCCATTTTCAACCGCAAATTCGATTTTGATCCCCATTTTTATTATAAATTCGGCCCCCATTTCTGATTTCTTTCAGTTTAATTCCTATGTTTTTAAGTTTCTTTATTTTCTCTTATTTTTACTCATTTAAATACTTATATATTCTAATTATTTTATTTTATTTTGTTATACTATATTCTATTATTTTTTATATGTATATATATTTTCTAAATATTTTATGTATACTATTATATATATATATTTTAATTGTTTCTTTTTATTTGTATATGTATATTATTTATATTATTTTATCTTCCTTATACTTTATTTATTTATTTATTTTATTTTCTTCTTGTTGTTATTATGTATATATTATCATTATTATTACTTTCCTTTATTTTATTTATTTTATCTATTTTATTTATCTCTTCTCTTTTATTTTTATTTTTCTTACATTTTTCCTTTAACACATTTCTTTTTTTAAGGGTACACTTTCAATCAATCAGAGGTAAGCAATTTGGATCATTATTTTACCTGTTAATTAAATTTACAATTTTCTTAACTTAAGATAACTGGAAATTATATAGTATCGAAAGGGCAGTTCAAGGGTGCTAACCCTTCCTTGACTGTAACCGACTCCCAAATCCGACATATCTTTGGTAAGACGCAGATCAGGTAATAAATAAGGTATCTGATCAACCCATTTGTTTTAAATAAATGATCGGTGGTGACTCCAATCCACATTTTTCAAGTCGAAGCCCAATTCTGGGGCCCAACCGAAAGACGGTTGCGACAATCAGTTAATGTACCTAACTACCTATTAACCTTGTTATAGACGAATGTGAGATGCTTATTCTTAAAGAATAGGAAAGACAAGCTATACTATCATTTCACTAATGGTTGTCTATTTTCAAGATGTCAATTCTATCAGTGCCCCTTGCGCAATTGTCATTGCCTTCTCTGTTTCTCAGTTTGAATTAAATTGAATAGGAGTTGCCATCTACCTTTGGGCTAGGTAGGTCGAATACTTAAAAACGTCTTTTAAAATAGGCAGAACATGATAGAATATAGGTACCGATTGGTATGTGTTTACCCAAAACTGGACTTAACGGGACCGGGAGTCGGTTATGCATGGGGAAGGATAAGCACCCTCACGACGCCCAAAATTGGTAGCTAGTCGTTTACTTGGTAGTGGAAATTATAAATCGAATATAAAGTTAGAAAATGATCTATTTATTAAAGTTTAATTAATTTGCTTTGAATTATTTATTAGGAAAAATCTTTTAATTCGAGAAGAAGTATCGAGATTTGCTCATCTTCCGACGGAAGGCTACATCTTCTACTTCTTGACCAAAAAGATTATTCCCTCATCGATATAAAAACACAAATCGAATATAAAATGAACATCGACATTTGCAAAAAATAAAATAAATTGCTATTTAGAGAAACATACTTTGTATTATTTGACTTAAAAAAATCAATTAACAAAATCAACTCGATTCATTTCAAGTTCACATTTTGTTCAAACGTCGTATCCGATCGCACTACATCGGCAAAAGTAATGCTTTCCACTTCCATTCTACAAATTGGTATTCTTGAAAATATTCGAACATCACATCAATAGATAAAGAAATACAATGGAAATAAATATGATTGGAAATTTATGAAATAAAATAAATTAGTTGACCCTTTTTTCCCATATGTAATGGGGTAAGGGAGAGGTATGATAGTAGGTTGTCCCCAACGCTGAGTTGAGAGCAGCTTCCATGGAGACCTCCGAATTATGAAATTCCCTCAGTGGGACTCGATCCCACGACCACAAGGTTAAGAGCCTTGTGCTCTACCAATTGAGCCGGACGATCACCATAAATTTATGAAATAAAATATTTACAATAAATTGTGCTAAGAATATTTATTTAATATAATAAATATAACTACATAATATGTAAAATATATTCATATATAAAGGACTAGAATAAAAAAGAAGTGAACATTACAAATCAAAATACAATCAACAACAAAAAAGTACATTCGGAGATTTAAGGGACCAAAATGACACTAATAGAAACTTGAAGGGTCTAACAATTATGAACAAACCATAGCCACAATCGAACATGTTAAACAAACATAGGTACCATAAATGAAAATAACCCATAAATAACGTTAAGGACTAAAATAAACCCAACCAGAAACATGAAAGAAAAATAACAATTAACATAAATACAACAATATGCAAAGCAATGACTAAAATAAAAGATTTGCAAATATCATGACCAAAGTCAAACATCAACAAAAATGACATAATATGTAAGACGATGGCTTAAATACAAACATTTAAAAGATAAGTGCTCAAAATAGAAAGATGAAGCTTTCATTCAATGACCAGCTGATGAAGTTATAAAGTCAGAGGGACTTAAACTGTGATTATCCAAACGCTAAAATAAAACCCCACCCCTATCGAAATTACGTCATTTCGGGGAAGGTATAAATGACCACCCTCAAGCCCAAACCGGCCATTTTTCTCATTTTCTTTGTTTTGATTTTGGGAGAGGAAAGAGAGTTTACAAACTCTCTCAACTTCCTCGTCGGGAAGGGGATTCGTCGCCCACCGGTGGTAAATCACAGTCGCTCACAGCGGCCAGAGGGAGTTAAACACCTTTAAAAAAATCTTTACGTCTTCCTTAACCTGAATCCTAGCCCCCTTTAACCTAAAGCTCTAGATCTAGGTTGTATACCTTTCGAAGACTTGAAATCCGACGACCTTTTCTTGCTTCCGACGTTCTTTCAATCAAAGGTAAGGGTTTATCTCTTTTCTTTCCTTTTTTTTCGATTTTTTTCTGTTTCCTCTTTGCTTTTGTTTTTTTTTCGAAACTATTTTTGTATTTTTTTGTTTCTCTTGTTCTCTTCCTTGTCTCCTCCCCTCCTCTTTTGTTGTTATGTTCCCCTTTTTATCATTTTTTCCTGTGGACTTTGGTGATGGCTTGTTGTTTTCCAAGAGAATAGGGTTTGAGTACCCTATCTTTTCTTGTAACAAGGCTGGATTTGACTTCCCTTGTCTCTCATAAGTTTAAAAAACTACTAAAAAATAATTTTAGTATTATTTTGTCTTCCTAGTGGCATGATTGATGCGTTCGAGACAGATTGAAGCGTATGTGGTTGGTGTTACAGGAAGAGCAGTGGTGGCAAGGCTACTGAACATCGCGCTAGGCGACGGTAAGGCTAGGGTTATGATGAAACCCTAAGGCTCCATCTCATCTGGGCCATCGGATCAAACACAAATCCAATGGCCAGGAACGAGCGGCGGCTGTAAAGAGTTCATATCTAGGGTATTGAAACCCTAGTTGAACTGGGTCGGGTCAGCTGTAACAAGGTCGGATCTTAGGACGGGTTGGATATGCCATTGGGCTCCAGCCTTGGGTTGAAACCGGGTGGGCTTGGTTGTATTCTCTTGGGTCTTTGTAATGGGTCGGTTTCTGGTAGGCTACGTTTGGGTCTGCAAAATGTAAAATATATTGTTAAAATAATAATAATAATAATAACAACAATAATAATAAGTGTTAATAATAAATTAATAATAAATAAGAACCCGAACAAAAACGGGTGTCTACAGTCCCACTCATTTAAACCCCTTGTTTCTCACCTAAATATTGAATGAGCATATTTCTTGCTTTAGGTTTGGTTTTGGACACCTTTTGGTTATAAATTATCTTAGATTGTGTCAATGGGGTTTTCCTTTAAAGTAGCACATATACTTGCTGGCTGCTGAGTTCTGCACCTGGGGGATAAGCTTATTATCACTGCAACTTGTCTGTGCATGCATATAATGGCTTAATCTATTAGGTTACTGTCTTTGCCAGTGGAAGAACAAATGAATATATATATATATATATATATATATATATACCATGAAAAACAAAGAGAATAAAGGTTGTTTTTTCGCATCTTACAATATTATCCCCAAACCAACGGTTGATGGTTTGAGAACATTCCATATAATAGTGTCTTTGGCTCCATATCTTACCCAGGAAACCTCTAGTCTATAGCCTCTTTTAGCACCAATTAGTGCATTAAAGTATTATTTTAACACTTTAAATGAACGCTAAGCTTTAGCATGATATAGAAATGAAATAGGTATATGGGCGGTTTTATTGGAAAAAAGACAGAAGATAGCTATATCTCCCCTGTTTTGAGCTATGTTGCACTGATACGGATACGGGGACGGATATGGGGACAGATACATGGACGGGGATGGCAAACGACAATTTTTAAAATTACAAGGTACTGGGACAGCAAGGGTACGACATATAAAATAATTTTAAAATTATAAATATAAAAAAAAATCATAAATAAAGTGTCAAATTTCAAGATTCAAACCATAATATTAACTCTAGAATAATAAATTCCATAATAAAATCATAATATTAAAGTGTCAAATCTTAATACTCAAACCATAATATTAAGTCTAGAAAAATATTAAACCCAAATCAAACATTGTTAACATCTTCCGAGATTAACTGACTCTCTAAATCCGGCTCATCAAGCGAGAGTTCGGCAAACTCTAAATATCCAACATCTCCCACTGAATCAAAATCATCTCCACCAGCATCCCACATCTTGGTTTTCTCATCCTCATATTGACTAGAACTCCTTGATAAAAGGCGAAGATTGTAGTGGATGTAAACTAAATCTTCGGCGCGACTCGGATTTAATTTATTCCTCCTAAGTGAGTGGATAAAAGAATAAGTGCTCCAATTTCTTTCACAACAAGAGGATGAAGTAGGTTGTCCAAGCACTTTGAAAGCCAAATATTGGAGCAATGGAACTTCGACACCAAAGTTATCCCACCAAATTTTCGGATCCGAAGAATACCTCTTTGTAAGAGACATCAAATCTTCAAAAGGCCCGAGCTTAAGTGAGAAACAAGTAAATTCATCCAAGACTTTGTCATAATCATCATCATTGGGAAATAACCTACGAAAACATTTCATCCTCTCTCGAGATATTTCACCATCTCTATGAGGAGCAACTCTATAAGGATCCTCGCTTAGCCAACCATCACTATAAAACCTTCAACATATTAAAAAGAAAATTACTCATAGCATCAAAGAACTAGGAGTTGAAAATATAAAATTCAAAACTAACAAAGTTATATATATACCTTGGATTTAGTGAATGATCTAGGGAATAAAGAGGAGTATAACTCTTTGTCCAATGAGCTATAAGAATTCCATAAACAACATGATAAAAAGGACTGAAGTCTGAAAGAGGACGTTTTTCCTTCGTGTAAATTTCACACTTCACTTTCTCAATCATGGAATCCCACAACTTATATACCAAATGAAGACATGGCTTATCAGTGCCACATACTCTAAGAATGTCATAGATAGGCTTTGTAAAATCAATGATATAAGCTACTTTATCCCACCAATCATCACTCACAAGTTTTTCTTTCACGAAGTTTGCTTTCACCATGTCATCCTCCCTATAAGAATTCCATTAATCACTAATGACCATTGCTTGAAGACCATTGCTTGAAGTCCCTGCTTGATGAGTTTAAACCTCTTAAGCATCACAACGATCGAAGCAACACGAGTATCGGCAACTGAAAGTAACTTAAGAGGACTAAATCTTTGAAAGATTTCAAATCTCATGTTGTGGTTCATGATGAAATTATTGATTTGTACGATATCCCCATGAATATCAGTAATACAATGGCACAAGTCGTATGTTTCCTCATTTCATTCGACATTTTTTGCTGAACAAATATTCTTCAAGGCAAGATTAAGTGTATGGACAACACACAGTGTCCAATAAATATGAGGATACATGCTCTCAATAATTTCTCTTGCCCCCTTTCAATTAGCTGTATTGTCAGTAATAATCTGCACCATATTTTGATGACCAACCTCATCAATCACTTCTTTCATCAAATTAGCAATGAAAAACTTATCTTTGACTTCACCAAAATAATTCACAGCTTTAAGAAACATAGGCCTATTTCCAAAAGTAGCCATGAAATTAATGAGAGGTTTTCTTGTTGGATCACTCCAACCATCACACATAATAGTTAACCCTTTTTCTTGCCATGTTGCTTTAATCGGTTGCAAGAGCTTCTCAACATTATTTTTTTCTTGTTGGAGCAATGTCGTTCGCAATTTATTATAACTAGGAGGAACATAACCAGGAATATTGTGAGTTGCAACAAAACTGAAAGCCCTATGATAATGAGGATTTCTAGCAAGATTAAAGGGCAAACCACCGGTGTAGAACATTCTTGCAATTTCTTCATCTAATTGAGCTCTCGTATTCATGTCGAATGCTTTAGCAAGAGGTGACAAGCTAGGTTTTCTCTTCTTAGAAGAAGAATCAATCTCAATCCCAACTGAAGATTGAGAGGGAAAAGAAACTTCTCTAGTTACTTCTTGTTTCTTTCTATTCTCTCACTCTTCTACCAACCTTACCATTTCAAGTTTTTGATTTGTAGTTACCTTTTTGCAAATTACAACTCCTTCACCTGAAATTTGAAGCAAATGTGACATCAAAAATTCCAAGTTCGTCCAACAGTCCCTCATTTTTCTATCTTTGTCACATAATTCCACAACGCAGATAAATTCACATTTTTGGCCGATGAAATTGAGTCACTCCCACTATTACTTCCAGTCCCATTACCACTTTGAGATGCCATATTTATACTAAATTAATATGTTTACATTAAAAAATTAAATGAGTTTAAATATCATGCATCAATTGAATGTAATTGAAAACAATAAGATCAAACAGAACTTATGCAATAAGATCAAACATAACTTATCCAATAATGAAGAGCTAAAAAAATAAGATGACACGATAAATCCTCAACTTTCTCATGAACAACAAACCACACTAAAGATAGATATTTAAATCATCACATATGTTATACTTTGTAAGGCATGTTAGATTAACTACAATGGATATTTAAATACTTAACTGAGCTGGATAATAGGCTAATTATTAAGTTAGTATGCCCTCATTCTAATACATTTTAGAAATCCCATCTGCTAGAGATCATTACGTTGTGGTCTAAGATGCATAGTATAGCATTATGTTGAATATTAAAGAAGATAGAGGCTGCCGTGTGGCATAAATTGTGTAAAAAAATATAGATTGATTTTTTTTTCTGGGCCATGGAAGGGGAAAAGAGACACTGGTTATTCGTCCGTCATTTGAGACACTATTGATGTTATTATATATTCAAGAGAAGTTGCCCAGTGTTTAGCTTTGCAATGAATGAGCCTTATGTTCTATTTTGGTTGGGTGGTCTGATTGAAGGTTAGTTGTGAAGAGGTGGTCTCTCATTACACAAAACTTTTATTATCATATATAAGCATTTTCCATTTGGCAGGCAATAGATTTCTGCCTTGCATCAAAAAAAAAGCAAACCACACTAGAGAAGAGCTAAACTTAGACAAGAACCACACCCCGGCTATTAATAGCATGAAGAACAGAATAAATTTGTGGCACAAGGAACTTATTTTTTAGCTTCTCATTTTAGCAGAACAATCATAATTAGGTAATTCTGGCGATCAAACTTATTTGTTCGAGAATAGACACCTTGATTGACTGTCCGGATAACAAATAACACATTAGAATATAGCAAAACAAGTAGCAGAAAGCAATGAAGAATTTACTACTGGTACATTTCAGAGCAAGTCAAACCAAGCAAACATATCAAAACAGATGCTAAACATCTATAGGTAATAATGTTGACGTGAAAGCTAGCAGTATCATATCAAAGTTCAGAATTAGCTACCCGATTGGTTGTAAAATTGCCTGAATTAGGTTTAGTGGTTAGGAAATGAGTTAGTATTTTATGATTCAAAACCAAAAACTAATTTTGACACCCGTAAGACTAAGATGAGCATGAAGCTTACAAGTTCATTAACTATCTATCTAGCAAAGTTTCTGAAGATGATGGTAATAAAGAGAATAAACAACAACAGCAACAGTAATAAATTAAATGTTGTGAGCATTGATGGTGACCCAAAAAAAAAGGGAGATAAACTGTGAGCTGAACTTGACAATAATAGAATGGAAAAGTGCATGATGAAAGGATTCTGCTCGAGACAGTTTATGGTTTGATTCATTAAGAGCGAGTAGAATTCCATTCGTGAAACACTTGAGCATGTTTTTTATCAACAATTTCAGATAGAAACAAGATGAGAGAAGCACAAAGAGAGCAAAGAAAACTTTAAATTGCAAAGGATATTCAGTAATGAAAATAAATTGAAAAGGGAAGATAAACAAATTGAAAAACGTAGAGAAATTGGAGAACTTACATAGCCAACTGAAACTTTGAAATCTGGAATTCTTCACTTCAGCAGCACAAATTTAGTGTTGAGAGTTAAGAGACATGAGAGTCGAGAGAAGAAATAGGGAATTGAGAAGCTGTGAAATTAGATTATGCGATGGGTATTTTTTTAAATGTAAAATGACAAAAATCTCATGGGGACACATGTGAAATTCCCCAGCCGTCCCCGAAACATTCCCAGCTCTCGGTGAAACGTCCCCGCCACCATTCAACCATATCCTGCCACCGTGGCACATCCTGGTACGTACCCCAGCCGTTCCCATGTCGTCCCCGACACGGGGACGTATCGGGTACTTGAAACGGCACACTGATGGTGTCCCCTTGCTTCCTAGGTTTTGAGGGTTCATTTGTTGAGGTTTTTATTGAGACAGAGACAGATTGAGAAGCCAGCACAGGGTTCATCCCCTAAAGACGATATGCTTTGTACCGGGTTGTCTGAAAAAAGAGATTCTCGTTTTTACACATCATTGGAATAGAAGTTGCCATCAGTCTTACAGACATGATGAGAGAGACAACAGAAGGAGTTCATTTATAGTAGCATTATTGTGGTGTCCAATACTCTTCAGCTTTTAATTTTATTTCTCTTTAAATGAGGATTGTAAACTTGTAATTTCTCCTCTTTAAAAAGTTGTACAGACAGACGGCTAGTTGAGTTGTAAACTGAGTTAATTGCATACACATACTCAAATTATGACATTCATTCTAAATTAGTGTATATAGTTTTGAATATTTTAGTTTCATCTCTAAACTTATGAATTAATCTCTAAACTCTTGAATCCAAATTATGACTTCATTTTATATTAATCCTCAGACTTTTAAACATTCCAAAGTCTTTGAAGGCTCGTTTCTCAATTGAGAATTTAAACACAAGAGTTTGGTGAATGAGACATGAAGGTGGCTGAGGGTCTTAACAATGTGTCCCCCAATTATATGATTGGACTTTCCCACTCGGTCCCTCTTACTCAGTTCCATGCACGTGCATTCTTCCGTTTCTCTTAGTTGTACTGTTACACTCCTTCCCTTCTCTTTTTCAAGGCTAAACTACAACATATTACAAATGAGACATTTAATTTCAAAAAATTATAAATAAATCACTCAATTAATCGATTGTCATTAACATAATACTAGATCATAAAAATAAAATGGGCAATAGAAGGTACAGTTGGGAAACAATTTTAGTGATTTTTATTACACTATAAAACATCCAATTATTACTAAGATTACAAATAGGTCGCACAAATTCAAAAAGTCACAAACAATTCATTCAATTAGTTGGAAAAGAAAACGTATTTTGAGTTTTGGGCTTCTCGTAGATCTGGGTCTCTACTCAACAATCTTAACAACGAAAAGGACGTTATTGGTGACAGGAAGAACATACCTCAAATTAAATTCCACAATTCAGTCTTGATTTTGATATTAGGAAAAAATTTAAAAAAATATTTTTTATAATTTAGTTTATAAAATATTAGTATACAAATCTAATACATTAACATAAAAGATTTGAAAATTTTAATATATATATATTAAAACACCCTAACCCAGTTCACCCCAAAGATCAAAGGATTAAAGTGTCACACGAGATCACCGAAGTGGCTAACTCAAAATTTTTCTTTAAAATCAATTGTAAAGCATCATATAAAAACATCCATAGTGATATGAAATAAAAACGTAATGATCAAAGTTTACAAATACGGGGCAACTGCCAAAATACATCCCAATAATGATATAGTATTTAAAACAAAATAAAATTAAGACTAAATATAAAAGGGTCTATGAATAGTACATGCCCTCTAAATATAAATCAAGACGTACTTTGAAGCCTCGACTGAGCTGGAATATTTGATGACGATAACGTTCCATGAACAATCCCCTAAGAACCTACGCGCGGAAATACATTCCGAACGCTTAGCTTACGAGCTTAGTGCTACACTAATAAATGTATTGTACTATATACAATCACTACATGAGCATGCTAGTGGCATAGGTATGAACACATATGAATACTAACATGCAAAATTGAGGTAGGCATCATGGTGCGGTGGAGGGTTCTGCATCTCAGAATGCACACCCCTCTAACCTACCTAAGATACCCTTGGACATATGGGGTGAGATCCAGAACTACATC